GGTAATGAATGACGTTACGTCTTTCATGTTCGATGGACTGTTGCCATCACTGTGTGAATGTGGTGTGAAAGGGTGACTGCTGGCCTGAGTGTAAACAGCGCTTTGAAGTGGGTCAGAAGACTAGAAAGGCGCATTACAAGTACAGGTCCATTTACCCATGTTACCACCCGCACACCCTTTCGCCCATCAGTCAGTACAGGGTCCCTAGTAATAATGCCATACAGTGGACGTATCTGTCCTGACTATTTCGTATCCTCCGCCAGCCTCAGACACAGATCATCTCCAGCTCTGGTTTCCATCAACAGCAGCGAAAGTGAGGAAGAAGAGGAGGAGGGAGAGAAAAGGACAGCACAACCACGCAAGTAAGTGGATACCAATGATACTAAAGTTCCCTAAGACAGACGATGCTACAGGGGTCTTGTTTTAGATGAGCAGAGCTCAAACATAGTTATGTCTGGCTGAACTGAAGGATTGCGCAGACAGTAGAAATCTTAAATTTTCTTCTTTCCCCTGGTCCATGCCCCTGGCTGTATGAAGAGAGGGACTGTTCAGGGTCCATGAACAATCCATCAACCTCCCGTGCCCAACCCCAAGAGAAATCTACAATCTCAGCAGCTTCGCACGCGACCACAATCGAGGAACCGTGCGAGACCTTGACTTGTAGAAACAACACCACAAACTCTGGTGAGAGTTCCACATTGAACCCTGTGGATGAGAATTTTGGTTTTACCCCAAAATACAGTTTTTTCACAACTTCTCCCTCCTCTCCTCTCCCCTCAGACTGCAGTCTGTTAGTGACTCATCGTAGGCCCAGCAGAAGCACTATTCTCGGAGCGCACTGATTTACAAAACTCTTCTGTATTGACAGGACCCTTAACAGCCCTTTTCCACGTCTCGCTCAAGCAAGGCCATACAAGGCTACCCACCTGCTCACAGTAATTACACTGTCGTCTGTTGGTATTATGTCTATTATTTATTATTATGCTACTTATTATGCGTATTATCTGTTGTGTTGGTTGTTGTTGTCTGTGTTGACTTTTGTTGAACGCGGAGTGCTGTTTGCTTTCCTCATGTTTTACCAGTAAACACCAGGCCAGCAAGGGAGGGACTTGTCATGAATTATTGATTAGTTTTACAGCGCTTCCAAAAGTTGTTGTGTTAGTTTGAGTGTATGTTTTATATTCAGAATATTTCTTCACTTTACTCTTTTCACAGCACACACACACTACACACACCCACACTATTCGTTGTCTCTCTCTCCGTACCCAGCCTCCTCCTCTGTCTTCTCCTCTTCTCCTCACCTGTTTATGGACTGTAACTTGAGTGTTCTCAGCAGTAACTTTTATCGAAGTCATTTATTGTTCCCACCCTGCACCAGCTTTCATTTCCCACCCTCCGTTTTAACAACCAGCAGGCGACGGTGTGTGTACCACGCAGCGCCCTTGCGTCTGCTTTATCATAACGGTGACTGTGGAAACAACCGACGCCGGTATCCCAACATTTTCCAACTCGGCGTACACTGTCACAACGAAGTAATGTGTCGTGTTGTGTGGTGTGGTCCTCGTGTGGCGTTGGTTGCGGCTGTGTGTGTGTGTGTGTCCGTGGTCGTCGTCGCTTCACGAAACCCACCCCTGATCTACAGGACGCAAATTAGTATCCGCACCTGTGAACATCGAGCGGCAAGGATCAGGACGCATGACAGAACATTGTCACAATCACCCACTTCTCTAGGCTCAAAAAAAAAAACCCCCCTGTCGCGTGATATCTAGGTTAACATATATGTATTCAGACACTATGGGCCTTACCAAAACACATGTACATTTTAACTTTGATTAATTTAACTTCATACACATTCACGCACCGATGCTATGCATCGGGAGCAATTTGGGGTTCAGTATCTTGCTCAAGGATACTTCGACACGTGTGGGGAGGAGCCAGGGATCGAACCAACAACCTTCCAATTAGTGGTTGACCCTACGCTCTGCCTGTGGATATATTTTAAGGCCTACCTTCAAACCCAGTGCCTCTTTACTTTACTTTACTTATCATGGAAATCAGCCTAAAAAATTGTGGAAATCCACAAGTTTGGTTCATCCTTGGTGGCGGCTGTGGCTCAGAGGCAGAGCGGGTCACTATTCGGAAAGTTGTTGGTTCGATCCCCAATCATCCAACACTTTCATATTGTGGGGCTTTATGTAAACTGCAGGGACTGCCACCAATCTACAACAGGACTACAACAGTCTGTTAGTCCTGTGGTTCTAGATTTAGGTTTTCTTGATGTTCTTCCTGCTTTACAGACGAGACACATCAAATCCAAATAACATCACACATGACACCATGCTCATGAGTAATAGTGGTCTTAGGCGTGCGTGTGTGTGTACGTACCGGGAGGTGATAGCCAGCACGTGGCTGTTGCAGGCGTCGTCTATGTCTTCCCAGCTCTCGGCTCTCCTCTCCCTGTCCTCCATCCAGCTCACTGGAGCTCTGCCTCGCTCCAGAGAGACTCCGCTCTGAAACACACAGCAGGCATGTTTATAAACAAGCAACACACACACAGACACACACACACACACACACAGTAGTATAAATATTGTTTTTTTTTTTTCTCATTTCTAATTCTTGATAGCAGAGTATATGAGTACTGGGTTGGTCATACATTTCGGAATCTTGGCATACACATATTATGACATGTCACAGAGGAAAAATAAAACTTAAAAAATAAAGTAAGAAAATAAATAAATAAATAAAATATAAGGGGGAAATCCGGTCTACGGAAGGAAGAAGAAGCTATGCTGTATTTAGACTCTGATTTCTTAGGCTGAGTTTTCATTAGTCCTTGTGTAGGTCCAAAAAAGATCCCAGGAGGTCATCCCATCCTCCTCCTAGCTGACAGAAGCATAGACTCATAAGATGCTGTCTCCACCATTGCATTAGTCCAGTCTTTCAGATTATGAGATACAGCAGTTTTCCAGTGTCTTAAAATAACTCTGGAAGCTGTGAATAAACCCACCATAATGACAGAAAAAGTTCTTTTTTATATATTCGGTATTTGCGACCTGTCCCCTAGTAAACATACGGCAGGGGTCAGGGGAATCACTGAGCCTGACCAGTTACTCAGGAAGTCCACAACTTTAACCCAAAATGGACTCACTAATGCACATTCCCATACACAGTGAAGAAAAGTTCCTACCTCTGTTTTACACTTCCAACACATATTATCATTCATCAATTTCATTCTATATAATCTCACAGGGGTAGGATAATATCTATACATGATCTTATATTGTGTGAACTTCCCTCTTGCCTCCCTTACATACTTTCCACTTTCCTCTGCTAGTATACCCAACCATTTCTCTTGTGTAAAGTTTATTCTCAGGTCTCTCTGCCATAAGAATTTCACATTAGAGGACTCACCACTTACTGAATAGTTTGTTAGTCTATAAAATTGTGAGGCCTTGCAGCGTTCCTGTGGCACATTCAGATATTCCAAAATATCATTTTCTGAACAATTACCAATTCGAGATTTTACACAGTCCCTGTATTTCCAAAAATGTTGTTTGTCTTTGAGTTTAAATTCACACGATAATTCCTCATAAGACATGAATTGTCCATTTTTGTACAGGTCTCCTATAGTATGTACACCACTTGAACGCATATATCTGTACATATTGCGACAACTTATACATTTTGTGTACCTTGGCCCACACTTCCTTAGAGTGTGGAGAGTAATGGGTTTGTGGTATTACTTTGTTGAGACAGTTGCTCCTTTGGACTAAATGGTAAACATAACTCATTCTCAATCTCCATCCAATCTAGCTTGTTGTCTGTCGTTTTCCAATATTTGGCTAGTTTAGCCATTTCAAAAGATATCCCATATAACCTTGGATCTGGTAAACCTAATCCCCCTTTCTCCTTGGGGGTGCAGAGTTTACTTAGTTTTATCCTTGCTCTTTTCCCATCCCATAAAAACTGTTTAACTATATCATCATACTATTTAAAAATGGCAGGCGGTATCGTGATTGGCAGCATCATTACTAAGTAGTTAAATTGAGAAGCTACTATCATTTTAATAACTAGTGCAGTGCCCGTAGAGTATGTATTGCTATAGAAAGTGTGAGGTTAAGTAACTTTTTTTCATGGATGGACAAATGAGGTTGTGTTTGAAGGTGGGACGTCAGGACATTTAGGTTTGTTTTGAATGAAAATCGTGTAGATTAGATAATAGCTTGTGTTTTCAATATAAATTTGGCTTTTAGCAAGGCCAATTCTCCGCACCCTGTGTCGAAAGACTCAGATGCGGCGAGTGGGGAAATGTCGGCTGCCGTCCCTGATCCCTGCCTCTGGAGTAGTATCAGGGAACGCATTATTTTTTAACCGCCTACAGTGTGAACGGACTAAGCCGACGGCGCGGACGGGAGGGCGTGTCGGTCAGACAGTCTGATAACTGCACAGGTCTCTCACTCAACTTAATAAAGAGAAATGTCCCACAAAGCAACGTTACAGGACCAAACAACAGTAACGTAGTAACTGTAACTGTCTTTGGAAACTGATATGAGGAAAAAAAGTACCACAGCTGTACCTACGTGGAAAAGCGTCTGTCCTCCTGTCTGTCCCTCCGCCTGTCCTACCGACTCTTCCGTTACATTTCTGCCCGAAAAACAGCGTCTGTCACGGCGAAAAACTCGTGTTGTGTTTGTGATCAAAAATCAACCACGACCGTCCAGCCCTACAGACGAGACATCAGTTTACTTTCACTTTCCAGGATGTTTGGGCTCTGCAGTGATTGGCTCTGGTGGCTATCGTTCTGTCACTACAGCTAAAATATCAGTAGCATATAGCAACAATTTATGTTCCTGTCCCCCACCCTCTACTCCCTTAATTCTCCCACTGTTCCTGATAATAACAGCCAGTGTTTCTAGACAAATTATAAACAATAGAGTGTTTGCCTCCTGATTACACCTTCACTAAGACTTGGGCAAGAATGTTTATGTATTCTTTAAAATATTCCACAGGAAATCCATCATAACCTGGTGATTTCCCAGTGTTCATTAATGACACAGCTTTCCTTATTTCTGCTACAGTTATAGGCGACTCCAACTTCCTTGCGTGATCAGGGTTAAGCTTAGGCATATTAATGTTAGAGAAGAATGAATTTATTTCGTTGTCATCGCAGATGTATATAGTTTCTTGTAATATTGTTGAAATGTCTCATTTATAACTTTTGTTGAGGTTTACTAATTTATCTCCCTGTTTGATGGCTGAAATTATATTTGAGGAGTCTTTTTCTTTCACTTGTCTAGCTAATATTTTTCCCCACCTTCATAAAAATTTGTTTTTAGAGGATCCCTAATCAGCTGCCATCTTGTTCGCCGTACCCACGTGACTCCTAAATATTGTTTTTTTCATTGGTGTCACTGCTATTTGCTTCTGTACTTTCTTTACTGCCTGTTGACCTTTTTTAGCTAAGCTTAGTGTAGCTTTCTGTTGAGAAGACACAGCGTCATATTGTTACTGATAACAAACTAACGATAGTTAGAGCCACGCCACTGGGTTGGTCTCAATGTGATATAAAGGTAGAATATCGACACCCAAAACTCATCACGTAAATCCTCAAACACAACACTTCAGTTCCTCAGAAGCTGTTCAGAGAGAATTTCTATCTGCTGATCTCTTTGATTAGTTTCTTCTTATTTTTTTTAAAGAAATAATTTCTGGCTTCTAATGCCTTTATTTTGATAGGAGAGGTGAAAATAGAGAGGAAAATGCGGAGAGGGAAAGGGGGTTGACACGCAGCAAAGGGCCAAAGGTTGGAAGTGAACCTGGGCCACTGCAGTAAGGACTCAGCAGGGGCGTGCAACCAGGTGAGCTACCGTGCATACTTTACTGTTGATATATCTTTTTAGGAGTTCTTTTTCACCAACAGTATTCACAATTTATCCTCAGGCTAAAAGTAAGACAATTCCAAAAAGTAAGTCAAAACTCTAGAGGAGTTACTATGAGCTGCTCACAGTTTGTAACGTGCTTCATTGCCTCAGTGTTTTGTAAAGTGTACATACACTTCTACAAGCATATTTTGATGGTGGTTGAGATTATAAGAATGAAGAATGACCCCATCAAAGGATGAAGATTAGTTCAGTCAGTCACCCTACTGCAGTGTATATGAAATTTGTGACACAATTTATAAAACATTTATTAATAAGATTAATCAATGTCAATCTTATTTTAATTCAATTCAATTACAGTTTTGATGTCATCCGATATCATTTAATCTGGGCTACCATAGAAACGCGGGGGTTCAACATGGCTTAAAAACCAAAGGGTTCCAGCTGAGGACTAAACATCACACTCCCCTCTCCCAGACTGAACTGACCTTTGCCTTCTTCTCCTTCTTCTCCTCTTCTTGCTTCTCCAGCTCAGCAATGCGCAGGCTCAGCGCCTCCCAGTGCATGATGGGAAGGCCAAGATTGTCCTCACCGTAGCCTTCCTGCCACACCAGCGCCGCACCCTCTGAACCTTCATCATCCTCCTCTTCGTTGTCGGCGTCATCTTCGCTCCTCCTGCCATCTTCTGCCTCGTTACTCTCCTTCTCCTCTCGTTGCTGCCTCTGTCTCTCCTTCTCTCCCTCCATCTTTACAGGGTCGGAAGCAGCAGGACACGGGGTAAAACCTTATGTATAGAACATGTAAAATGTTGTAATTATATCAAATAAAAAATGACTTAATAGCCCCCGTTTGTGTATTACTATTTCCAATGCAGGCAGCTAGACATTATTTTAATGAAAAAATAAAATAATAGAAAGTAAAATCAATATAGATATAGATAGATATGCAGTGTTGGGGAAGCTACACTGAAAGCATATCTTTGTAATTTACCAATGACTTCATACTGAAGATGCTGAACTACAGCAAAGCTTCGCTAGGGAAAAATCTGGTTTGGTTAACAAAAGTTATTTAGGCTATGTTCACACTGCAAGCCTCAGCGCTCAATTCTGACTAATTGCTCAGATCAGACCTTTTTTTTTTGGCTGTTCACATTATTTTATTTAATGTGGCCAGATTCCAGTGTGAACAGGTCACTATGACAAATGGCGATAGAAATCCTTGTTGTTACTGTAGGAGAGAAAGAAACATCTGTTACTTTCATCCTGACCATGACTCCTGTTGCAGTTCGACCTGATTTGACTCCATACTGAAAAACTCAAACTCCATTCAGGATGAGTTAAAAATCATTTGTCAAATGATATGACACATAAACCAATAAACACAACTCATCATTCAAATAAAAAATTACAGCTTGCGTGAATTTACTTATCGTTGTCCAAAACAGCTTTCTGGGTAAAACTAGGCAGTAGCTCAGTCTGCAGGGACTTGGCTTATGGAGTTGGAGTGTGGACTAGAAGCTGCCAGTTCACCTCCTGTGCACTGCTAAGATGCTCTTGAGCAAACCCCTAAATGCCCCCGGAGTAGCGTTACATGGCACCCCACTCCTCTACACATTTGCATGCCTATAAGCCCCGTGTGACGATGATTGTATTTCAGGCGTATGTGTGTGTAAAGAAAGAGTGAAACAATTATTTCCCCATTTGGATTAATAAACTATATCTTCTTCCGTGAGAGAATGACATATCCACGCCATTTTTTGCCTTTTTGTTAAGTGTTGCGTGCTGTACGTACTGATAGAGTTTGGCATATTAGACTCATATGGGCTCTGAGAAAATCCCATGATTACTTTCGTACTGGCTCTCCCCTTTATACTGTTTAGTAGTTTTGGCACTGGTGCCCAAAAACCTTTGTGTTTGTATTTATAAAAAGCCAAAGCAGCCAATGACAAATTCCAGGCATGCATACCTATACTTACTACATTCCATTTCTGGCAATATACCACCCCTAAATCGTACACATTGGAACACTATCCAGCCCTACATATACCAGTTAAAGAATAAATAAAGAAATAACCAAATGCTACAAAGAGAGACCGAAAACTTTTCACTGCTCTCTGTTGGTGGTGGTGGCTGGGGGACTCCTGCCCTCAGTACTTTTGAAATCCTCGCTACGGCCCTGTGTAAACTCTGAGCAGAGCAGCGTGTTTTCAAACTTTCTACCTGGAATATTTGGCGGAAGTGTCAAACACATACACAGTCTATCTCACCAAGCGGTTATTAGTGGTTCAAAATGTGACTTACCGCTTTATCAAAAGTATCCGCACAGCTCTTGTTGTCAGAGAAGTAGCGCAGAGTTTTGCCACATAGCCCGGTTAACTCAGCTCCTTCCTCAGCTCCTCCTCGTTATCTTCCCTTCCCTGCCTTCCCATCAGGAGTTTCACTCCCTCAAACGGACAAACGAAGCGGAGAAACCGTCTGCAAGAGCCGTTACAATCTCATTCGTCTCAGTCTGCACTCTTACTTACACCGTGTCTCTGCGGCCTTTTTACCACATATCCACTCGCTGTCGGTCCAAACCCACGAACAAAAGACTCGAACTTGAGGAATTTTACACGGAGGAACAAGTTGGCAAAGAAGAAAACAACTTCCTGTCGCTGCCTTCAAAATAAAGGTCTTCTTGATAGCCAGGGTTGGGAGGGTCAGATACAATTACTAAAAAAAAAGATTTGCTGAAACTTTCACTTTATCCTGAAAGTAGTACATGATACTGATAATCTGTGAATGAATCAGGTTCCTCTGGCTCCTCCTAGTGCTCCTAATGATATTTGCAAGAATCCACGGGGCCTGGATGAAAACAACCAATCAGAGCTGGGAAAGATACTTGATTGTTGTCTCATGTCAACAACAATCAGCTATCTTTAATCCACCGACCCACATCATCTCCTCATCTTTCTTGCTCAGCAAATATGACAAAAAGTTATTTTTATAAAAATACCTACTGCAGTTTTGAGTCAGCTATCACAGTGCTGGGTATTTTGTCCTGCTCCACTGTGTAAAAATAACACTACATGCCACATTCACCCAGTGATGGCAAAGCCCATCGAACAGAAACTAACTCACTCAGTATCTTGCTTAAGGATACTTCGACATGTGGCAGGAGGAGCCGGGGATCAAACCAACAACTTTCCGATTAGGGGAC